ATCTCAGGAAAAGGTTCTTCCCCCAGAGGGTGGTTGGGCACCGAACAGGCTCCCCGGGGCAGTGGGCACAGCACCAAACTTGGCAGGAGTGTTTGGACAACACTCTCAGGCACAGGGTGAGATTGTTGGAGTGTCCCGGGCAGGGCCAGGAGTTGGACTGAGGTGGGTCCCTTCCAACTCTGCATATTCTGTGATTCTATGAAGTGACTCAGAACACCCTGAGAGTGATTTAAGCCAACATCAGCTCTCCACACTTGCAGTGGGTTAAAAGCATCCCCATGACAGCTCCTGCAACTCTGCCAGGGAGCTTTATCAAAACCTACTTTTTTTGTGATTCTCTTCACTGAGTTTCTTCCTAGTCACTTCTCACTGTTCCCCTGTCACCACTCCAGGCTTGCCCTGCTCTCTCCACCTGGCAAATTCTCTGGAATTAACAACCCTGTCCAGGTTGTCCTTTACAGAGACGGCCTTTGACCCTCTTTGTTCAGCCTGGGGAAGTTCAGTTAGCTACTCCTGACTTCCTCCTTCCACCCCCAAAATAACATCAACTCTTCCTACTTGATTCCCCAAAGAACCAACCATCTCCTTGAGTCGATGTGCCCTCTTTCTCTTCCTTCATCTTGACTCACCCAGTTCTATGAGCAAGTGCCACACGATTAAAAATGCCTCATCACAAAGCCCCACAGTGATACCAAATGGGCAACACATGTAGTACAGTCATCTTATGAATAACCTGGAGGTTGAAACTTGTTTGCACAACGTCCTTGAACAAATAAAATCCAGGGGCAGTGCTCTTGGAACCTTTTGAGAGCAAAGATCCATGGAAGGCCATAAATATCCATTCCTTGTCATTCTAATATTCCTACTAACATTCCTAATGTGTGACCTTACACCCTTCCTTTTATCTCTTTTAACCTGAATCTGACATCCACCACTGAAACGGGAAATCAGTTCAACAAACCTAAAAATGGAAATGTGTATAGGATGACAATGTTGACTCACTTATTCTCTGAATATTCTTTTGTCAGCTCCTGGAAGCAAGTCCACGAAAGCCTCCCACATGCTGTCTAACAAAGCACAAATGATTAAAGGCATGTTCTTCTTTGGTCCTCTCCAGTCTGTATGGATCCTTCTCTCTGAATGCACAGGGTGGATCCACACACACATCTCCACTGCTGAGTGCTGGCTCACATTACAGACTGCTGGGACAAGCTGGATTCTTACAGAGCTTGTAGGTCACATGCAGACCGTGACACAATTAACTGTCCAGCCAACTGGAAGTTAAATCTCTCAAGAAAAAAACCCCATCCTAATCTTCTACACTACAAATATAGCTGTCACTTAACTGTCACCAGCTGCTGAGGTAAGAAAGAGATTCAAGGAGAAAGAAATTCTCTACCTGTAAACAAATTACTTGTTACTGATGATGGGCTCCAAACCTATTGAACCTCTATCATCTTGCTGGAACACCCTGGGTTTTCTCACCAGCAAGGCAAAGAGGGCAGAACCGTCTCCTCATGTTAAAAGAGTAAATTAGAAGTTCACCCTGCTTGGAATATACCTGATTAAAAGTCAGGGCTGAGGCACAAACATGAAATGTCATGTTTCAGAGATATGTCCTGATATCTGCCTAAATTACTTCTCGGGGGCTACTGTGTGCTAGAGGGCTAAGAGATTGGGAACACCTAGAGGTAATACAGAAATGGAGGACCTGGAGAGAAGCAGAGACTTCAAAAGAAAGTGTTTTGATTTTCCTGCACAAATGCTCACACTTTCATGTGTTAGAGGACATCCAGGTTTCTAGATAGAAATATTAAAAATCTGACTGGGTGTGTCCCTGGGCAAAAATGCTGTAGCTGACTGTGCACTGAGCATTGACTTCATCCTTCCCACCTCATCCCTTCCGTGGTTTTACAAGAGCCTACGTGGCATGAAGCTGTGTCAGGGCAGGGTTAGGTTGGATTTTAAGGAAAGGTTCTTCCCCCAGAGGGTGGTTGGGCACTGAACAGGCTCCCCAGGGTCACAGCCCCAAGGCTGCCAGAGCTCAAGGAGCATTTGGACAACGCTCTCAGGGACAGGGTGGGATTTCTGGGGTGTCCTGGGCAGGGTCAGGAGTTGGACTGAATGATCCTTGTAAGTCCCTTCCAAATCAGGATATTCTATAATTCTATCTGTAGATCAGGGGCACCCTGAAACACTAATGTGGCAGACACATAATCTTTCCTGAGAGCAAATGATACCTTTGAGGCAGAGAAGCTGCACATCTATAATGACAGAGATCCTCTCTGCCTACAAGCCTCTCTGCCTGCAAAACGACAGCTGCAACACAGGCCTCCAAAGCAGCACGAGGGCAGGGCCTGAGGGGATTACAGAAACACCCTGACAGTAACCTCAGATAATGTCATTTAAGGTGTCTATCACTGCAGCATGAGATCCACAGAGGTTTAACCATATGATTGTCTTAGCTATCTACGTAGTTTTCAGGGCCTGTGATGGGCTGAAGAAGCGGACTGAACCAGGTGATGGACTGAAGGTGTAGAGGCTCTTGTAGCACAAATAAAATCAGCCAAAATCCACCAGGAATGCACTGCAGAAAGCCTGCTACTCTTGTCAGACCTGGAGAAGTGAGGAGGCCCAGGGCTGCAAGAAGTTAACCTTGTGTGGGTGAATAATCACTATTTTCCCTTGCAGCTCTACCTTTTCTGCTTCAGTCACATGAATCATGGTTGTACTACCACTGACATGTCACGACAAGGATTTTCATGGATACGACTCAAAGAAGCTGTGGCTGCCCCATCCCTGGAAGTGCTCAAGGCCAGGTTGGACAGGGATCAGAAAAACCTGGTCCAGTGGAAGGTGTCCCTGCCCACGGCAGGGGGGTGGAAAAAGATAAGCTTCAAAGTCCCCTTCAACCCAAACTGTCCTGTGACTCTGTGCCTCTATAGTCAGGTTAAGGACAGCACTGGAGGTTGCTGACTATAGAAAGCACTTCCAGCAGAGGCACTCCTGACCCATGTCAAACTCTGCATATCCAATTACAGGGTCATCAGAGCCAGGCAAGCCACCATCAATCTCCCCAGCAGGTATCTCCCAGCCCCTGATGACAGACACCCCTGGTACACTCCCTCTGAACTCCAGTCCTTGCTGTCATGGGACACACACCCCTTGGAAACAACTCCCGACTCACCCTCGGCTGGGGCATTGCACTGACCTTCCCCCCGTGTGGCTCCAAACTGGCACTGTGGGTTTTCTAAAACCATGGCTACACTGAGGACTTCCACCCTGTGCTTGTCCCAACAGGTACACGTGCTCTGCCACCCATGGCATGTCCCACGGACTGGCTGGCAATCTATTTTTCCAGTGTGTGGGAGGCCCACGCCTCCCTGCCATCTGCCACCATTCACTTCTTGTTGCTTCTGGAAAAAACTCGAAAAATAACCCTGCTCTCATTAAATTTAATGAAGCAGGAAGCCCTCTGAGTGCATTTTTCCCAAATAATCTGCTCACTGCTCCGTCACAACATCTTCACCCATCTTACTCCTCCCGCACTTCTGAATCCATTCATTTGCTCCTGTTTTGGCTGTAACGAGTGGACTGCCCAGTTTCCATGAGAACAGGGAATAAGTGGGAAATGGGGGAAATCTAGAAATCATTTTTAGATCATAATGTATAGCATCAAATAGGAATTCTTAAGAAAATATGGATTCTACCCTACTAGGTAAGAACTTAGATGAGTGACAAAAAAAATCCCGACCTCCTTCTAAATATCTGTTTTCATGACAGAACAGCTTATTCCAGTGGAAAATGGGATAATTGAAGGAATCTAAATTGACAGTTGACCAATTGTGGCCGAAGTCCACTGAGAAAATCCAATGTCCCCTGAGAAATCTGCAGCTAGTACTGCCTCTTACCAATACTAGTTACAGTACTCTCCATTTCCAGAGATATTGCTCCAGAATGTCCTTGCTCCAGTGTGGTGGTGGTTTCTCTTTCTCCATCCCTCACAGAGCTCTCTTCCCTACACAGCAGTGCCAGCAGGCTGCTAGAGAACTGGGCAGGAACAGGAAACAGAGATCCTGATGGGGCTGGATGAGAAGACTGGCACACTTACAGAAGAAGCTTTTGCTGCAACCCTTCCTACCTCTGCTAGACAATGATTTCACTTTCCAGAGTTCCTAACTTGGCCCATCCAACAACCTACATCACTCCAAAAGAGAGACAAAGCTCTCAGAAGAAGGAAGAGAATGCTCTCCCCTCCCTGAACAAAAACATCAATGTCCTTGACCTGGGAGAGATCCGACAGCCCTCGGACATACCCACACGTTCTGCTCCCAGACAGCACGTTCTGACTTGGCTGCATCTCCCTCACGCCATGCACCCAGGGAACCACTCAAACATAGCTCCTGAAACTGTCCCAACTCCTGGCCTTTGCCTGGGCAATAAACACCTGCCCCCCACCCAGCAGTTTTGGCACTCACACTATTCCGAGCAAAGCTCAAGTTCCCCATTTCAGTGTCCTGACCTATTTTTCAGGTTTGTTTATGGGGTGACTTCTTTCTCACTGCTCCCAAAACACAAAATGAAGGACAACAAAAGATTAGTTCTGCTGCTTTACTTCTGCATGGTTACTGTTCATTCCAGATAGCAAAGGAGCTCATATTAAAGTTTTCAGCTTTTACATGAGGATCATCTGCTGCATCAAGTCTCTGAACATAAAGGCAAATGCAGGGTCCTGCACCTGGGGAGGAATAACCCCATGCCACAGCCCGGGCTGGGGGCTGCCTTGCTGGGCAGCAGCTCAGTGGAGAAGGCCTGGGGGTTCCAGTGGACACCAGCTGTCCTTGACCAGCCCTGGGACCAGGGTGGGGGATCCTGAGGTCTGTGAGGAAGGGCATTTCCAGCAGGTCAGGGAGGGGATCCTGCCCCTCTGCTCAGCCCTGGTGAGGCCTCACCTGGAGTGCTGTGTCCAGTTCTGGGCTGAGGGAGCTGGGGCTGTTCAGCCTCCAGAGGAGACACTGAGAGGGGACCTCATTCCTGTCTGTCACTGTCTGCAGGGAGAGGGCAGAGGATGGACCAGGCTCTGCTGGGTTCCAGCAACGGGACAAGAGGAATGGGCAGAAACTGGAACACAGGAAGTTTCATCTGAACATGAGGAAGAACTTTCCTCTGCACTGGAAGAGATTGCCCAGAGAAGGTGTGGAGTTTCCCACACTGTGGATATTCCAGAACCCTCTGGATGCAATCCTGTGCCATGTGCTCTGGGATGACCCTGCTGGAACAGGGAGGTGGGACTAGATGATCCACTGTGGTGCCTTCCAACCTGAACCATTCTGTGATTGTGTGTGAAAACAGCGTACCCCCTTTTTCTAATCAAGTGAACATTCCCTGAAGGTGCCTAGCATTAGAATGAACTGTGTGAAAATAGTGATCACAGTACCTTTTCTCCCCTGTCTGTATTTTGTCAACACAATCATCTTTAACCACAACTGAAAAAAGCTAACACTATTATTTTGCAACATGATTCATTTCCATAATGAAAAATCATTACTATTCTTTGATCTGTAGCAGATCTAATAAAATAGCACCTTCTTCAGTAAATGAAATTGGTCACTAAATAAATCTGAATTACTAAGTAAACTTGAATTACTCTTCCTGCCCATGTGCTCTGAACAACACTGTGTATCTGCCCCTCTGCCTTGAACAGACTGTATTGATTCCCCCAGATAGATCAGGCAGCTCCAGAAGACTTTTGAAATTATAATGTCCTGGTTCACTGCAAAGGTTGTTCACAGCAGTGCCTTCCTCACCAAGAAATCTCTCTTGATTCCTGGGCAGGGCACCACTATTGACATCAGGGTCTCCTCTGCACTGAAGGCTTCGTGCTGGAGCTCTCACCTGGACCCAGGACATGCTCTGGGGGTGGGGATTGGCACTGTGAGATCCATGTCTCAGGAATGAAGAATACTAACAGCTGCTGGCATAAAGTGACACAGCCTTGCAGAGCTGCCATGAAAACTGTCATCTCAAGGGCAAAATCTGATGTATTGCAATGAGGTTCATGATAAAAATATAAAGCCTTGCACCATTTCAGCCCCTAAAAAAGGGCCTTGGCCAAGGCAAAGGAATTTTTGCAGGTTGCCAATAGTGCCTTCTATGTTTACATAGTACACTCTGCATGATCATCATGCACAGAAGAGATATTCCAGAAGTATTTCCCATGGCTCAATACCATGCAATGACCTCTAGACAGGTGTCTGCAGAGCTCCTGTACCCTCCTGGGCTAGACCCTTAGCTGGGCAAACTGGTAAAATGTGGCTGTATGTGGGGAAAGAGGGAGATTTAAAACAGTTGAAGAGTTGCACAGTAATTTCTTGAAGTAAGAAATGATGCCTGTTTCTATTTCTATGGGAAGGAGTAAATTACATCATGGATACACACAGACGCATGGGTGCTAATGCCAACGTTTACATCTTTCACGTGTAACATACATACCACACTTGACACACAGAGCTGTCTCTGGATGAGTGCTTAATGTCGAAATAAACAGTGCAAAAACAGGAACGTATTACCTCCAAAATAGCAAGACTTCCCCCAACCTCTTCCCTGTCCAACTTCATGGACTATGCAGTTCCTCAGGGTTCACTACCTCAGCCAGGAGCTCAAAGTCTAGCTGAGTCTGACAGTCTTTCTAAGGCTCATACCTGGACTTCTGTGGAGCCTGACAGGTGCTGAGAGTGCTCCTTAGTTTCTGACACAAAATCAGCACTTCTGTGATGGTGGGACTTCTGATCATGGTGGTCATCCCTTCTCCTGGTTTCTGTGCCAAACAAGACATTGTTTAGCCTTTCCAGATACTTATCCAGCTCTTCCTGGGTGTGCTCCAGTTGTTTGCCAACATTACTGGGGGAAAAGGAAGAGGATGGTGAGGAGGGTTTGCTTTCCCTGTCCTTCCTGGCCTCTTCCACATGCGGGTTTTGCTTCATTAGAACAAGCACAATGATCATCAAGATCAGGCAGAGATACACAACCCAAACTTCTTCCATCTTAGTGGGGAGGTATCAGGAGCTGGTTGTGCCTGTTGATGCACTCACAGGGAAGAAGCCAAAAATGGACCAAACCCAGCCAGTGGTCAGCACTCCCCAGCTGACAGTGCCCACAGGAGGACTGGTGCCAGTAATCAAACCACTGTGGGAAGGGATGTCAAAGCTGGATTTTCCAAAACAGTATCTTACAGACCTTCCGTGGTTCTAAACACGAAAGCAGCACAAACAGCGAGCAACAAAGGCAGCAGAAAGATACAAGATCATCTGTCACAGCTTCATATGACCTTAAAACAGCAGTATCTCCTCTTTTTCCTGCTATGGAGCTGCAGGTTCAATGCTCCTCACTCTTCAACCTTCCGTTACAGTGTTCCAGTTGCTGTCTTGCTTGAAGTACTAAGTTTTTCTTCTTTCTAATTCAAAGAAAAGATAAATGAGGATTGAGGTTTCCCTCCCCAAATGAAGATAATATTTTATCCTTTAGGGGTGATTAGTTGCTGAGTCCACCCTCAGCACTCTTAAAAATTTAAGTGAGACAAGGTAATACTAGTCACCTCAGTTACAGGATCAGTAGGACCAACTTGGCTTTCTGTCTTTGCTGGTCTTGTGAGAGGGAGTCCCCCCAGAGGTGGCTGCTGAGACTCTGAAGATGATTCCAGCTGGACTTTGTGGGGATCCCTTGGAGATCCTTTGTGGGCTGCTCCTTGGTAACTCTGCCCCCCAGATTACTCAAAGAGGGGCGGCTCAAGGGCCAATAAATGCATTTCCACTGACCCAGCCTAGGAGAAGGGGTGGGACAAATGTACTGATTAGTGTCCAGCATCCAGGACAACAGCCAAAATGCCAGTATGGATGGGAGCGGGGAGGCTGGCCATTCCAATTTGAGGTAGGATCTGTCTGGAATGGGATTGCTTTTCCTAACCTTTGCTCAGAGGATCTCTTTACAGAGGAGGGTGCCAAGCCCAAAAGGACCAGAGATCACATCCAGGTTTCTGCTGCCTCTGTGTGGAAACATTCTTGGCCTCACCCTGCCACAGAAATAACCCTAAAATTCTTCGCTTTGCTCCCCAAAGCGAGACATTTCTCCCGCTTTACTGCAGTGAATGGTCTGAGACAGGTCACAGTGTTCCTCTACCCTGTTACTCATTTTAGAAGCTGCTCCTCAGCTTTTAGTTTTTCAAGATCGATGCTATGAAGCACGTTTGGCTCTAGAGGCACTGTGGTACTTCACATTCCCTTTTCCCTTGTCTTTAACTCGCTCCTGAGGTCACAGCCGTGTTGGAAGCTCCCGTAAGCAGTTTGCAGGCTACAAGCCTGGGCCTGGCACTGCTGCCCTACATTTAGGTGGGCAGTCACCAAAGAGATACAGAATACCAAATCCAGTCACCCTGTTGGCACCAAACTCAAATGCCAGGCACAAAGCTGAGGAGAGGATGCAGAGACAGACAACTGAGCTCGATTTTCTGCCAAAACTGAGCTATATTTTTTTAAAGCAAGAACAGTGGAACAGAGATGTCCAGACAGATGAGAATGTCTCCCTTCTCTCTCACTGCTGTACATCATTAATGCCTTGGGGCATGGACCAAACCTCCAGCTACAGGTATTACACTGACTAGCAGAGCAAAGCCCTGACCCAAACCCGACACTGCTGCAATAAGAGACATCGCTGAAATCCTAAAGAAATACTAAAAGGGGAAAACACCACTTTAAAAAAAGAAGTCATTAAGACTGCACTGTGGCCCACAGCACTTCCTAACTCCTATTAACATTGCTTGTTTCCTTTCAAACAAATGTAACATAGCAGAGATGCTTCAAGCATTGCAAAGCTTAAAAATGAAGTACAGACTGCTGTAGTTTCAGATGCAAAACACCATAGTGTTGCCTCTTCAACACAAAATCACTTGTGAAGTAACTTGGGCACATCTGTCAAAAACTCATGAGGCATCACCTTGGCTATGAAAACAGGGAGTGGACAGAGAGAGGCAAAATGCTTTGTCCAAGATCCCCATGCTGACTTGTGGAACTGACCTGGAATGACACTCAGGGATGTGAGGGATCACACGTTTGCCTTCCCATATACACATATGTAAGTCCTCCAATAACAGAGCACAGGAGAAGGAACATAGGTTGGCTTTGTAGGTCAGCATTATCCAGACCTCTGGAAAACCACAGGAGCTGTTCTCATATCAGAATGCATTTTTCTCTGACCTCTTTTTATCTGAAGATAAACTGCTGGATCAGGTTACACCAAACGCACACCTCACTGGTATCTTTATTCTAATTGTGAATGCCTAAGGAATAGCATAAGCACGAGGCAATTATATAAGAATGCTTCCCAGAATACTCCTGCAGCCTTCCACAGCAAGGATTTTGTAACATTTTAGCAGCTTTAGCTTTACCTGAGACAGGAGAAGGGAAAAAATAACCGTTTCCCAGACATCTGCTGCACAACCAGCCAGGAAAGCAAACAGCTGTAGTTCCAAGGTCATGTACAAGATGCTCTTTAATCTCAGTAAATGGCATGAAAACACTAAAAGTTTGACAAGGACACAGTTTTTGTATGTTTAATATAAAATCCTGGAAATCAAAACTAAAAAAAAAAAACTGTCTAAGGTTGTTCCACACAGTCGAAGTTGTGCTCCTTGGCAAATAAAATAATAATATGCCAACCTTGATTTCCAGTTTTTACCCACTGACTTCAAGAAGACATAAAGTCAGCTCTGCATATTTTTCCCTGTCATACATGTTATCCGGGTTCAGTTTCCCAGACAGGAATTCTTTAAAATATTCTTTTAAAATAATAAAAAAAATATTCTTGCAGATGCCACTGCCTGCGTCAGGGCTTAGTAATAAAATTAATTTTTTGGAGCCAACATCAGGTTTTTTAAAGTCTTTACCAGCCAGTATTTTCCACCATCTCTCAGTTGCTCTCAGCACTCCTTGGAATCTGCCCACATTCCCATTTCTCACTTCTCACACAGGCTGACTGGACTATAAAAGGGAGGAAAGCACTGCTCCCCAGGGACACCTGATACCACACAGCCTTTTGCAGCACTTCTCTTCCTTCAGCTTTTTTAGGTTTGGTGGGAAGATTTTCTGTGGGAACACAGGAGATGGCTTCAGTGACTGAAGTAGTATGGAAACACTGGAGACACACATTCAAAAAGCCAAAATTTAATACAAATCAAGTGGAAGAGAGTCTTTGGGCTCTGACAGTTCATTTCACCACCACCCAAGGTTGGCACGCAGCTGATTTTACCTCTGAGTCACTGGTGGCTGTAACTGGACTACTTACAAAGTAAACTTTATTTAAGAGCTCATTGTACGCCCTTCCTACCTGGTCAGAACCTGGCTCCAGCAACAAAAACCTTTCCCTGTCTGGAAACAACTGTCCTTACATCCCTAGGCTGGATTAAACCAGCATTTGCAGTTTTATTCTAAGTCTGTTTCTGTCATTGAAAGAGATGAATCAGCAAAAATGGTTCTCACTCACTCTCTCCCCAGACCCTGAGCTCCACTCCCTCGATGTCATTGATGGCATTGCTGGTGTTTGCTGGATGCCAGAAGCTGCATTCACACAGACTCATGGAGAGTCTGTGTGAATGCAGAAGCTGCATCCTCTTTCCAAACCATTTCCCTCTGTGTGCATGGCTGCCTCAGCTGCTAGGAAAGCTCTGCTCTATTTAAAAACCACGGGAGAATGGGAAAATCTCATGGTATAAAAGAGAGATTTTACAGTTAATGCAAATTCTACAGGAAGAAAACCAGATCCTTTCACTGCTGACCCTTTCAAAGGTGCCTCTCTACAGTGTGAGCACAGAGGAGCACTACGCTGGCTGAATCTTGGGGTCATACGGTACTAGGCAGATTTGGTTTAGATTTCTAGATAAGGCACTCTGGAACAGGATCAAGAGACGTACTGATGACATTTCCTACTGCACAGCATCTCTCCACCGTTCTGCAGTTTACAGGGGATCTGGTACAGGGATTTTTTACCACAGTTTTAGTCTAAGACACTTTCCTAGAAGAAATTAAAGCGAAATTCTTCTTTGGAAGCTGTGTCATTGAATAAGCCTGTGTAAAGCGTCCTGGGTGACTCTGAAGGGAATTCTGTTGAACCCTGGCTTTTCCTGCAAGCTCCCGAGCACTTCCGGATGAATTTGCCATTCATCTTGCGGATGCTTCCCTTCACCTCCACAATCCTGGCAGCCTTTGCAGCTTAAAGAGGGGAGAAAAGAGCCGTTAGACATGTTTAGTGATCTCACATAGCGAGGCTCCACTCTGCAAAGCAATCTGCAGGGCGGGAGTGAGTCCCTTTCTTCTTCTTCCCCTCACCATGAGAAGTTCTCCTACCTGTTTCCATGAGCTTCAGCTCCCTGCACAGCTCCTCCTGCATCTTCTTCCTGTAGTCTCCAAACATGGCTCTCATGAGCTGCCGCTTCTTTACCAGTGGAGCCTTGTCACTGCGCAGTGTCCTGATGGCCCGGAGCGCCTCTTCAGCTGCAGCAAAGGAGGAACAGCACACAGCTTAAGGCTTTCTGCTGGCTCTGCCCCTGCATTCCTGCCATCCCTTCCCACAAGAGAGAGTTTGCTTTTATTTGAATGCCTACCCTGCTTAGGAGTGGGTTTCTGTGTCTTCAAGCCAAGTTCCAGTTGTTGCACACACCAGTCCAGCTCCTTCTGCAGCTGCTCATCTGACTGCCATCAACGTGGGGCACAGGGAGCAAGAGGAAATAAGTCACCCAAAAATTAAAGCGGCAGTTGCTACACAAGATAAAAGGGAACTGCATAAAGTCAGGACCATTCTCAACATCACGTGCTGGTGATCAGTTTTACAGACTCCATGACATTTTCCCTCTAGTGTTTTTCATTGGATAAACTAAAAGCACTGCACAAATGTTTAGTTGCAACTCACTGCCTCTATTTGATGGGTTTAATATGTGGTTGCCATTCAGAGGGTGCTGTTTTCTGGAAAGCTGTTCAGTGCCTTTCCTCTGAAAGAAGCTGTCAAATACACTTACAGATGGGAGAAATAAGCATTAACAACAAAAAAACGCTATCACCAGACCTGCATAAAATCAAAAAAAGTGAACAATGGACAAATAAGTCTTTTTTTCTCAGCTCCTGCGTGCTTGCTAAACCAGAAATACATGAGGAGAAGGAAGTTGAAGCCCATGGAGATGGAGGAAACCAAGTCCCATCGAGCAAAGCCAGCTGGCTAACTCAGCAGTGGGACAGGAACACAGGGCTGCACCCTGGGACCGAAGTAATTTGTAACTGTTATGTACATGTAAACACAAAAGCCCTCACCTACAACAGTCTCCTTCCAAAGGACTGGAAGGGCTTTACCTCACCTTCCAATCTTCCTACCTCTCCTGTACTCAGCAGTGTTTATTGGTAGGATGGAATGTTCCAGAGGCGGGTGAACACTCAGCGCAATTTCCTTGAAGAATATTAAGAAAAGGAAGATTTTGTGCAATCTTCTATTTCAATATTGCTCAGCTGGCACTGTTTCTTAATAATACCTACACTGGTGCTGAGAAGTAAAATAAAATGAAGATCCAGACCCTCAGCAGAACAGAAAACCTCAGGGTGTGCCTTAATGGTGTGTTGACACATAACTTGCAACCTCAGTGGATTTCTGGGCCATGCCCTACAGTGGGAACCTTCTGAGAAGCACCTTGAGCTTCACCCCAGACCCCTGGCTACACCAGGTGGCAGCTCTGTGCCTTGGCTTTGCTACTTGCACTATGTGAGCAATTCATCCTGCCTGGTAACAGGAGCAGGGCCTGGTTCGGCACCCACAGGCACTGATTGAGGGCAGTTACCTCCATTTCTTATTTTCATTTCCTTAAGAAAGCATGGCACCCAGCTCCCCAGGATTAGCTGTCACAAGCCTAAACATGAAATGCTTCAGCACAAGTCTGAAGGACCATTAACTCCCTTTCCACTAGTCAGGCTCCTCAGCTGTGTAGCAGAGAAAGCAAACAGCTGCTGGAAGAAGCAAGCAGCAACCTCAGTCTTTCAGCTCTCATCTCAAGGCAGCATGCTAATTGTTCATCTGTGCAAAACGATGAAGTGCCTCTCTAGGTTAAGGGTTTATAAATTATGGGATCTCATCAATATTTAACTACCTGAGAGGTCTTCTCATCCTGATGGGAAGTATTTGTATTTTGACAGCTCTTAGCTTCTGTCTTTGCTTTCCTTCTGGTCTCAGTTTCTTCTCTCTCCGTTTTACTGACTGGTGGTTTTTGTTTCTTCTTCTTTTTCTTCTTCTGGGCAGCTTCATCTCCTGTTGATTTCGCTGTTGCTGCTTCATCTGCAGGAGCAGTCTCTGCTTGGGGGATCTTTGATGTGACATGGCTTCTGTCCTCTTTGGGTGCACTCCCTGCAGCTTGAGTCACCTCAGGCTCCCGCACGGCTGCAGCCCGTGGCAGGGCTGCTGCTTCAGCAGGCAGTGAAGAATGTGTATGTTGGCTTGAGGGAAGTAGCTGGAGCTGAGGACAGTCTTCATCTGGGATGGCAAAGTTGAAAGCAAACTTGGGTTCTTGTCCAGAGGCAGCAAACCTCAAGGCTCCATTCCAGCTCTCCTGCTTGGTGGCTCTGACAGCTCTGCTGTCACCAGGGTCTGCTCCTGGGTCGCTCTCGGAAAGTGTAAAATCAAATCGGAAGCTGCTGCCAGATGATGTGAACAGCTCTGGCTTTGCCTCAGGGCTTGGGTGAGACTGTTTCATACCATCTGCAGCCTGCCCACTGCTTGGCTGTACTTCCAGAGCACCAGGTTTCATGCCTAGAGAAGACAAAGAGTATTGTTTCTATCAATACACCAGTTTCCTACCATGGGGATGCCACAGCAGCTCCCTCTCTAAGGCACTGCCCAGAGAGTTGACTCAATCAAAAGCTGCAACCTAAGAAACCTACAGAGAAGAATCAAGTCTCACCATCCCCTGAATGACACCTCAAGCTCACCTGCTTTCTCCATGCTCTCCTGACCCTCAGCCGTGCTGAGACAATAATCCCCAAACACATCACTCATCACTTGTTGCTTCTTTGCAAGAGGAGTCTCAGGGGAGCGCAGAACCTTGAGAATGTGCTGGGTCTCCTCTACTGCACTCAGAAAAAATCCAAGAGAGACAAAGAACAGGTTATGCTGGGCCTCAAAATCCCCGCTGTGGGATGCTGATGACTGAGTCTTCTCTGAAACGTGCTCTGTGTTCATATCACCTCTGACTAATCCACAACTGACATTTGGTTGAAAGGGAACTCCAAGTGCTTCTAGAAGATGAAATACTGTGAAATGTTCTTAGGGGGGGAGAATCTAACTACTTATTACATACAGTCAGACTCTTACACTGCAGTAAGTGCACTGCTAATGGCATACACAGGGCTCAGCAACCCTCTCCTCAAGGCAAAGACAAATCCCAGGGCCCATCTCTCTGTGTCTTTTCTGAAAAACTGGAAAAAATCTCAGTAGAGAGCACACCCTGAAAAGTAGGACTCTTGCCTGGCTCTCATACAAACCAGCCTGACCACAAGAGGAATCCAAATTTTTTGTGTCAGACCAAATTCTCTAAAAAGCACAGCTGTTCTGTGACAGTAGTCCCCAAGACCTCAGTTCGGGTACCCTACGTATAGTCTTGTAGTGTTTGTCTCACTCATTTCCAGCCCCAAGACAGCCTGATGTACTGCACTAGTACTGTGGAATGGGCACGTCCCACCTCTCCTGGCTGCAATGCCCGACCACCTCTGGGGGAAGAACCTTTTCCTAATATCCAGCCTAACCCTCCCCCGACACAGTTCCAGCTGTCCCCTCAGGTCCTGTCCCTCATCACAGAGAGCAGAGATCAGAGCTGTCCCTCCTGAGGAAGCTGCAGACCCTGATTAGGTCTCCCCTCAGTCTCCTCTTTTCCAGCTGAACAGACCAAGGACCCTCAGCAGCTCCTCCTGTGGCATCCCCTCCTGACCCTTCACCATCTTTGTGTCCCTCCTTTGGACACTCTCTAACAGCTTCAGATCTTTTTTATACTGCAGCACCCAAAACTGCCCCAATGTTCCAGGTGAGGCTGCCCCAGTGCAGAGCAGAGGGGGACAATCCTATCCCTCACCCAGCTGGGACAATCCCCTCCCTCGCCTGGCTGGCAATGCTGGGCCCGATGTCCCCTAGGACACGGTGGGACAGAAGTGGGATGTCTCTTCACAGCACCTGGGTATCAGGGTCCTGAGCACACGTGTATCCCTATGTCAAGGGGTTGGTCTGGTTGCAGTCCAGGATCTCATGCAGACACTGCTGCAGCCAGATAACTCATGGATCCAGATGCCGAATTCCTGGCTAGAGCTTGGATCTGCCTCCTCACTGCAGACTCCTTCAGTGACTGGGACTCCAGGCAGAGCCTGGGTACCATCAGCAGGACTGCCCTGCTCTCCTGGCTCAGGCTCCGTGCAAAGGGGTTCCTTTCTGGCCAGGCCGCTGCTTCTGCTGCCTCATCCCTGGACTCAGCTCCTGCCTCCCCTCCAGGAGCTGCCTTCTCTGCTGCTGAGCACTGGGGATCAGCACAGGACACAGATGTAACAAAATGGTCTGATCATAGAATAGTTTGGGTTGGATGGGACAGTAAAGCTCATCCATCCCCTGACATGGGTAGGAACACCTCCAAGCCCCGTCCAACCTGGCCTTGGACACTCCCAGGGATGGGGCAGCCACAGCTTCTCTGGGCAACCTGTGCCAGGGCCTCCCCACCCTCACAGCCAACAATTTCTTCCCAATATCCCATCTAACCCTGCCCTCTGGCAGTGGGAAGCCATTCCCCCTTGTCCTGTCCCTCCAGGCCCCTGTCCAAAGTCCCTCTCCAGCTCTCCTGGAGCCCCTTTAGGCCCTGGAAGGAGCTCTCGGGTCTCCCGGGAACTTGCTCTTCTCCAGGCTGAACACTCCCAGCTCTCCCAGCCTTAATTCTTGGAGCCTGATACTCAAGCACCATGTGTGGGCACATATTAGTTACTGCTACATCCTCAGGTGAACTAGCAAACACTCACCTGGGCACCTTACAGATGGTTCACACCCCTCCTCTAAAGGTTAAGTAGCGGCCAGGAGCAGGACGTGCGTCTGCATTTCTCTACAAGTTGTACTGATAAGATCAATCTGTGACCTTATGAAAAATATTTTAGAGGACTTTATCTTCCATGTAATTTCTCCTCGGAACAAGCTTCACAAAAATAAAAACACCTACTGGTGTTTAAGGGCCAGACACACTGGCACAGTTAAGATGGAAAACAAAGGCAGAGCTGTAGCAGAACCAAACAAGCCATTAGATGGGAAAATGAGAACATGAGAAAGGATACAGGAAACAGGGAGAATGAACACTAAGGAATGAAAGGTAAAGCTGCTTCCAGATAGACAGCTCTTAAAATTCAATGCTTTGTTTTGTATTTAGAACAAATCCCAAATGACAAAAGAACAGGGAACAGAAGGGAGAGAAGAAACAGAGAAATGTCCAAATCTGCTAAATCAGACCTGAGGTTGGAATATGGGATGTGTGGGCTGGGAAAGAGGAACATACCTGGTTTTGGGGGTGGGGTGAGGTGGAGATCTGCCTCCAGCTGTGAAATGCGCCACTTCAGCTCCTCCCAGAACACATCTTGGGCAGCCTTGGACATGGGGTAGGGAAGGAAGAATGTCTAAAAGAAATCTCTCGTCTCCAAAATTGATTCCAAACCTGACTTTCTGAAGCCCTCTCCCCTCTCATAGATCAGACCTGGCTTTACACTGGAGATGCGCTGTGCAACTGCTCATTTATACCATCAGCCAGCACAGGGACACGTGTCCTGTGCGGAGAGCACCAAATGAGCTCTGCATTACAAAAATCACAGCCATAACCTCCTACTAGCAGGACCCCCCCCTCCCGCTCCTGGCAAGCCAGGACTTCCCACAGATATTTTTTCTCCCTCTTTCTCTCCTCCTTCTCCTTTTTAAAGGCCCACCCAAAAAATTTCTCATTTTATCCTGAAGCTTATTACGGCACAATGTCTCCACGGCAGGAAACTTCTCTTTCACACAGCTCTGGCAACACAAAGAATTTATCTTTACGGTAAACACAAGCGCCCTGTGCTGTATTTTTACGCCGCCCGCCTCCTGCTAAGCAGGTGGAAGTGAAGGCTTTGCAGCCCGCGGGGGGGGGGGGGGGGGGATGGAAGGAATGTTCGGGAAAAGGTGAGGAGGGGCTGGGGAGGGCATCGGCGCTGCTTTGAGGAGCACCTTTTGCGGCCCTTACCCGCTCCATGCCGCTCCGCGCCGGGGAGGAAGCGGCCCCACCGCACCGCCCACCTCCGGTCACGGGCAGCGTGTGGGCTCCGGGCCCAGCTCCGCCCGGGGCCTCCCCCGGCTCTCCCCGCCGCCCCGGGCCGGTTCGCTGTGCGAGCCCTCAGCGCTCCGCAGGCCCGTTCCGGCCGTGAGGGACCGGAGGGCTCCGGGCACAGCCCAGCCCGGGGGCGCCCAGCGCCCAGCTTGGCAGCGCGTTTGTCCCTTCGGGACTGCCCCCGCTCCCCTGAGCCCCACAGGGAGCTGTGGGACACCCGTGTGTGCACTGCCCGCCCGGGGGTGCCACAGAATCACAGAACGGGCCGAGTTGGAAGGGACGCACAAGGGTCATCGAGCCCAACCCTCAGCCTGCACGGGACCATCCTCAGGATTCACCCCCTGTGCCCCAGAGGATCATCCAAACACTCCTGGAGCTCTGGCAGCCTTGGTGCTGTGCCCACTGCCCTGGGGAGCTTGGTCAGTGCCCAACCACCCTCTGGAGGAAGAACCTTTTCTAATATCCAACCTAAAGCTCCCATGACACAACTCCAGGTGACTTCCTGGGTCCTGCCCCTGGTCCCCCAGAGCAGAGCTCAGGGCCTGCCCCTCCTCAGGAAGTTGGAAGTGCAGCGAGGTCTCTCCTCAGTCTCCTCCATCTGAACACACCAAGTGCCCTCAGTGTCCTCACACGGCTTCCCCTCAGGGCCCTTCCCCATCTTCATTGCCCTCCTTTGGACACTCTCTAATGGCTCAATAACTTCCCTACATTGTGTGCCCCCAGACTGCCCCAATATTGCAGGGGAGGCTGCCTTCAGAGCAGAGCAGAGCGGGACAATTCCCTCCGTGGCCCGGCCGGCGATACTGGGCCTGATGCCCCCCAGGACATGTCTGACAGTGCCCCTGTCCCTGGGCCAAATCCTGGCAGGAATGCCCACACCAGCCCCTGGCCCTCCCACCCCAGCAGGACATAGGCCATACCACTGCCCACCTCCATGGGCAGGGTAGAGCCTGTTGTCAGCAGGCAAAAAGGGTCAATACACACCCACAGGTGCTGTCTAATCCCGTCTCTATTTTAGATTTCCTTTTGATTATTTAATTTTGTAAATAAAAAGTTAGACACCTTGTTTCATATACATTTTTTTCCCCTCGGATTGTTTTCAACAGCCGCCAGAAGATCCCCGCTGAGGCCGGTGCCACGGCAGCCTGCGCGTGTCACAGCAGAGGGTGTGATGTCTCTCTCAAATGCTTCAAACTGTGGACATTATAATTTCTGCTGACATTGGCAGCTGATGTTAGAAATTCTCCAAGGCTGCCAGTGATTCCAGCAGGGCTCTAAAATGCTGGGAAAGCACTTCCAAATGTTGCTGTTAAAGGTTATAAAACGGTACTGGAAAAATCAGCACACTTCTGCCAATCCCGACCAGACTCCTATCTGCCTTACAACCTCCATCCTTGCAGAGACTTAGCTATTGTCTAAGTCCTCCCCTCACCACAAAAACCATCTCAGTGGTTTGAGCCTTGTCAGAGGTTGTCTAAGACTTATCTCAAGACTTATTCTGCCCGTAGTAGGTTCAAAATCAGCATCAGTCCTCACATACAAGTGTCCAAGTGTCAGGAAAAGAGCTGACAGTCAAGTATTGGAGAAGATAGTAATGAGCACTGAATAATGAGCTATCACACTGTCTTGAAAGGCCAGAATCCCAACGCAGTCCTCCTCTCCCTCAGTTCCTGAGCTGGACTGCGGGCTCGTTAGCCCATGACCACCAGTTTGGATGCATCCCCTAAAGGAAAAGCTTCCGGTCCATGGCCTGAGGAATGCACATCCTCATCAGGGGATGCAAAGGCCCTACTTGACATGGCTGGCACAGAGCCTGCAGGACCCATCCAGCCAGAGCCAGGGGGGAAAGGAGCATTGCCTTCTGAGGCAGGATACTGTCCATGTCTCCAGTGCTGTGGACTCAATGCCCATGCAGGGAAAAGGCACAAAGGACCAGCAATGCCTTGGTTTTCCTGGTTTTGATCTCTGCCCTGAGGATTCAGCCCCACAACAGCACCGAGTCGGTGAGCTGTGACAGCCCTGCTCTGAGGACACACCATAGAAGGGCTGTCGGGAGACCCAAATGGGATCCTCAGCTTCTGCTGACACAGGAAGCTTGTCATGGGAAGAGCTGCGAGCAGAGCTGGTGGAAGATGATGTCTAACAAGCCATGGTTGCCCAGGAGCAAGGCAAAGAGCAGGCAGAGGAATGGGAATGGCTTGAGCCTGCCTTGGGCATGGGGCAGGTTAGTGTGTGCTGTATAAACAGTGCAAAGGCTGGAACAGCTCCTCACTGCTGTCAGATGGTTGACAGGAGCACCTGTCTAGGGGCAGGACAGCTGTGCAGTCCCTCAGACCACTCCAGGAGTGGAATTCCCTGCCAGCACAGAGCTGCATGCTTTCCCCCTGCCACCAACTGAGCACCAACAAATTCGTGGCAGGCATGGCTGTAACTGGAAGCTGGAAAACGCAGCTCTTTGGTATCAGGCTCCTTTAAGGGAGTTGCAGGAAGGAATTGGGATTAAAAAAAAAGAGGGAGGAGTGGGGTGGTTACCAGAGCTTCTAACCACAGTGCCAGGGAGCCTCGGAGGGCACTGGGACAGCCCAGTGTCACATGCCTGACATGTCCTGTCTCCAGACTTCCTGGCCGGCGATGTACGTGGCTTGCACATACAGGCTGTCGTTCAGCATCAGGAAATCTGCGTTGGGCAAGAGGGAAAGGAAGCAGCTGTCAGAGGAATGGAGCTGCTAGAGCTGGCTGGGGAGAGCTGAGCTCAGTAGGGAACAGCCTCTCCCCACCCCAGACACAGCAGCAGGAGGGCAGTGTGGTGCCACCCTGGCTATGGCAGCTCTGCTCCATGCTTGGCTGAAGCATGGGGGGCACTCCAAAGGGTTTCCCAAACCAAGCATACAAGGGGATAACCACTGGAATAAAAACCCAGAGCTAATCCCAGAAGAGCGAGTCTCCCTGCAGCTCCCAGTGAAACAGGGGATGAAGATGTGCAGCAGCCTCTGCTTTGCTCCAGCGCTCAGAAGCCCTGACACCATTGTCCCCATACCAACATCTCCTGTCCCCATAACAGTACCTCCTGTCTCCATGCCAATACCTCCTGTCCCCATACCAGTACCTGCATCGGAGTCATAATTCAGTGTCCCCTTGTTGTGTTCAATCCCCAGGAGCTGGGCAGGATGCAGAGATGCTGCCTCCAACGCCGTCTCTATGGAGCACCCTTGCACAGAGAGTTGGGAAGATGGTTAGGGCAGCCACAGCCCCACTGCCAGAGCAACCCAAATTCCCCTGGCCAAGGCAACTGTCAGCTGGGCACACCCTCACCACAGCCAGATGGAGCTGGGAAGGGAAATATCCCTACAGGAGATAGCAGGAACAGAAGAACTGAACACCAAGGGTATGGGGAGGGGAAAATCATTCCACCTTTGTGAGGAAGGAGCAGGAGAATTCACCTCTCATTAGTGCTGTGGGTTAAAATGAAACCTCCCCTCAAAAAGGCGCTCATCTGAGGGCACTGATCCCAGCCTGTCTCATGTCTCAGGTGAGAGGGAATGTTCCTGGTGGAATGGACACAGCTGGCAAGAGCAAGACCTCCTCCCACATCAACATAGGGAGCAACAGCTTGTGGACAAGGCTCCCTTACCTGTGGCCTCTTGGAAGTGTCGCACACACGTATCCATGGTCGCCACGCTACCACTCAGGGTCTTTGTGCCTGGGAGAGGAATAGGATGGCTCTGAGCAGCTCCCACAGCTCACAGCAATGAGAAGGGGGGCAGCAGGGAAGCATAACGGGACCAGAACGGCAGAAATCACGGGTGGCAGGAGGGCAAGCTGAAAGGCCCACAGCCACTGCTGACAAGGGACAGACTGAGGCAAGGGAGAGGTGCTGGCAGGGCAGGGAGAGGTACTGGGGTGTCACCCTCCAGCTCCACCACCAGACCAGCTGGGCTGGGTGAAACCAGCTCACAACGCAGGTACCTGCTGCCAGAGGTGAATGGATCCTTCTCTGAAATACCAGTCTCTAACTGCCTGGGAACTTGAAACTTAGGGAATTTAGTTAGCAAGAAATGGTAGTGATGTAATAAAGAAAAGGGACAATAAATATCTCTTAAGATTTCTCTGTCCTTTCTGACCCTCTGCATACATGACACTGGGCAATAAGGCTTTCAAAGGTGTTGCAGACAGCTACAAATAGACAGATTCCTCCCCACCCCACAGAGGTAGGGCACTTCCCCTCCTTACCAGGTACCTCATTCTCCCCAGGGCCAAGTCCCTGCAGATCCACCAGGCAACAAAACCTGAGAGGGTGGCACAAGCACTGCCTGACACTGGCAGGGCCAGCCAGCTGTGCTGAGCTCCCCAGGAATGGACACCAGTGGCAGTGCTGTCCCCAGCTCTCCAGCAAGAGGCCCTTACCTGCGATGTAGGTGTTCAGCCCATCAATCTCCACCACCTGCTGCCCCAGCGTGTGCCGCCCCGGTGCCAGCCCCATGCCAGCAATCGCATCTGTCACCAGCACCAGGCCTGAGCAATACAAGCAAAGGGGCCCTGTCAGCTTTGCAGCTGATTTTGCTGCAGCTCTGAGCACTGTGCCCCGCTGGCCCTCCCAGATAGGGGCCATGGGGTCTCCAGCCACATCCCACCAAAGTGCGAGGGTATCACCACACGTGGCTGTGACCTTCCAGGCAGCGAGAGCAGCACGAGTGTCTTGTGGGAGGTGGCCCAGTGCTTGGAGGGGCTGGTGACACCAGTGTGGCTCACCTTTGGGGTGGGCTCGGTGGGCGATCCGCAGGGCGGCAGGGTTGGTGTGGATGCCATCAGAGATCATCCCGTAGAAGACCCTCCGCCCAGCAGGAATCTTGTCACTGGTCAGCAGCCCCACGATTCCAGGGTCACGGTGGTGGAACTGCCCAAGGGGAGAGACAGGACAAGCTGTGGAGCAACACCAGGACCTACTGGCTGAGACCCTTCCCCTTAGGGGATGCAGCTGCCATCTCTATCACACAGCGCCTGAGAGCTTTAACAGGCAAATCTGGGCATTGCCTTGAGTCACAGATCACAGGGTGGTTTGAGTTGGCAGGGATCCTAAAGCCCATCTTATTCCAATCCCCCTGACATGGGCAGGGACACGTTCCACTAGCCCAGGTTGCTCCAAGCCTCATCCAACCTGGCCTTGGACACTTCCAGGGATGGGGCAGCCACAGTTTCTCTGGACAACCTGTGCCAGGGCCTCACCATCCTCACAGCCAGGAATTCCTTCCCAGTATCCCATCTATCCCTGCCCTCTGGCAGTGGGAAGCCATTCCCCCCTGCCCTGTCCCTCCATCCTTTTTCCCAAGTCCCTCTCCAGCTCTCCTGGAGCCCCTTTAGGCCCTG